TTTTTTTCTTTTTTTTTTTTTTTTTTTGAGGAGGCACTGGCTGCGTTGCTTCATGGGAAAAAACGCCGCTGAGTTTAGAGAAATATCATAATGCAAAAGGAGTCGCGGGCGTTCACTAGAAACAAAACATTGTGCTCGTTTGTGTTTGAGAGAGTGGAGCGCGCGCGTGTTGGGAAAGTGGGTGTCGCTGTGCACGCTGCTGGAGCAGCTTCAGAGCGATGTGTAGAGGACTTTAAACGCACTGTGTCATACAGTGGTGGAAGGACGGAGATCGTGGATCGTATACTGCAACACTTCTGATGCAATGAGTCCGACCGTTTCCATCCTGATCCAATGTGTCTGACGATTCACTTACCGCGCGCGATGCTCTGACTGCCGTGTGTTTATATATGGAGACACCCTAAAAAACAGTCAACCGGGAAATGGTAACACATGAACCTCCTCACTGGAAGGAACATGGTTGAGAGGAGCAGTAAATTTCTGTTCATCGTTGTCGGCTCGGTTCTGTTCATGCTGATTTTGTATCAGTACGTGGCTCCGGGGATGATGAACTTCGGCTCTCCGCACGGGTACATGCTGGAAGACGATGCGGATCTCTTCCCGACTCCTGATCCACATTACGTGAAGAAATTCTATTTCCCCATCAGGGATCTGGAGCGGACTGTGGATTTTGAAATCAAAGGGGATGATGTGATCGTGTTTCTCCACATCCAGAAGACCGGAGGCACCACGTTCGGGAGGCACCTGGTCCAGAATGTCAGGCTGGAGGTTCCGTGCGACTGTAGACCGGGACAGAAGAAGTGTACCTGTTACCGACCCAATAGGAAAGAGACCTGGCTCTTCTCTCGGTTCTCCACCGGATGGAGTTGTGGCTTACACGCGGACTGGACCGAACTGACCAACTGCGTACCGGGGGTTTTGAACAAAAAGGAGAACAGCATGAAAAACCACAGGTGATGCTTGTGTAGAATTGTTTTGTCTGAAGTGTTGGCTGTGTCTCAAAACCCCGTGAGCTCTCTACCAAAAACGTTTGGGACATCATAGGCGTGTGCAGTCACAAAATACTGTCTCAAAGGGATTTGAGGCACAGCCAGTGTGTAGAAGAACTTAAGCGAGTACAGAATAACACCTGCCCTCATCTGCGGTATACAAAACTATACAGTAATAATTATGCATAAATTCACTGATTACATTGGCTTTTCATACTACTCTTGGGTTAACCTCTTTTAAAACTTTGGGTAAAGGCCAGTTTTAACCCTGGGTTAAACGTTTCACATCGTAAAGAAGGTTAGAACTGCTTTTAACCCTAGGTTAACCCTGTCACGCGATGCTACAACGTAAACAACCACTGTTGTCATTAAATATTCACGCACTTATGTAGACTATGTATGTCGCGGACACTTTCAAGCGCTGTTTAAAGGGTTAGTTCACCCAAAAATGAAGATTCTGTCATTAATTACTCACCCTCATGTCGTTCTAAACCCGTAAGACCTCTGTTCATCTTCGGAACACAAATTAAGATATTTTTGATGCATTCTGAGAGCTCTCTGACCATCCCATAGACAGCAGTGTGATTACCGCAATCAAGGTCCAGAAACGTAGCAAGGAGATCAGTAAAATAATCCATGTGACTCGGAGGAGACAAATTGTTGAAAAAAGTCGTTATTTTTCTTTTCTTTGCTCGCAAAAAGCATTCTCCTAGCTTCGTAAAATTACGGTTGAACTGATGTCACATGGATTATTTTACCGATCTCCTTGCTACATTTCTGGACCTTGATCGTGGTAATTACATTGCTGTGTATGGGAGGGTCAGAGAGCTCCGGAATTCATCAACAATATCTTAATCTTAAAAATATCTTAATTTGTGTTCTGAAGATGAACGGAGGTCTTACGGGTTTAGAACAACATGAGGGTGAGTAATTAATGACAGAATTTTCATTTTTGAGTGAACTATCCCTTTAAGTGTTTTACGAGAAAGGGTTAAAATGCTGAACAGTGATGGTGGCGCGACTACTGAAAAAGTATCATATGTTTTAGCAGACTATACACAAGCACAGTAGATCTACTTGGTGACATTTGAACAGTGGGCAACCGGTTTTTAAAACAGGTCACGTGCTGTTTTCCCACCTCAAACAAGTGTCATTGACATCATAAAGAGCGTTAAACCATAGGTTGTAAGTGTACAGAGTGAGAAATCGGAAACCTGACCACGCAGGGTATGGTATGAACAATGTGAAACATGAAACAAGATAACCCAGGATTAAGTTTTCTTGGGGTTAAAACTGACAAAAGGGTTAACGATTTCAAGTGTGAAAAGACCAGTGATGTTGAGTCTAGTTGGATTTCTGTGGTTACATGAAACTGGATGGCAACCTTTCAAAAAATGAACATGAAACCATCGTAGGCCTATACCATAGTATTTTACTACATGTAAAAATTCAGAAAAGATACTGTTACTCGAGCTAACTTCATTCAAACAGATTAAGAAAGCATTAGAAAGTACTATTGGCTCATACTAATGTAATGCATTTTGGACAAAACTATGTTTACCATGTTAAAGTTTTGTAAGGTAAAGCTCTCATGGTGCCTGTCCTTCGATTTCAGGTGGAAAACAGAACTTGTTGTGTTTGTGTCATTCGATTTTGCATGTTTGTGTTTTCTCCAGTGATGGAGGTGGAAAATTACTGTGTTGTAAAACAGCCCCTCGTAAACACTGTAGTGAACACTGGCTGCCAGGATAGTGGTTACAGGACTCACCACATCAGGACACTCCAAAGCAGTCATGTCAGGAATAACCAGCCAGCGGCCACTGGTAGTCAGCGTCATCTTGTTTTGTATTTTGGTTAAGAAATGGCTTAATTACCTTTCCCGAATGGATATATGGTGGTCTCATAAAAGCATTTAGACCCACAGCTAGTGGGCATAGGTTACAGTTTGTGGAATGTATTACGCTTACTTTTGCAGTGATGTGAAATCCATCTCAGAGCCATGTACGTAGACTGTTTTAGTTTTTAATAGGATTTTGTAGATTAAATTATCTAAGCTCTGCAAAGTCAAATACATCAGATCAGATTTAGCAAATAATCAGCAGCCCGACTCCTCTTCCTGAAAGAACACAGTCTAGTTCCAACATCCCCTCGAGTGTAAAACATCCCTCGTATCACAGCGATGCCATTACTCTTGTTGCTTTTGGCGACCTTAGGAATGCAGCACTGATATGGATACACATTCCTCTCCTTGATTAATCTCTCCTGTGATAAAGGCAGACAGACCACACCAGTGCTATTCTCCCCTAATTCATCACGCATGTGTACATGTTCGTTTTGTCTGTGAAATTAGCACAGGGTCAGCGGTAAAAGAGGTGAGAGGAGTTTTGTCATTTCGCATTTTTAATATCTGCATTATTCTGATAATTAGATGGGGAAATACTGTGCGTAGATCATTCGGATTTGATATGCTGCTTTGTTCAAGTGCTCTTTCTACATTAGTTACAGTGATTTCAAAGGGCCAATGTAGGGTGAATTGAAACTTTGTTCATTGCTATGTCTTGAAGCTGTAGGGAGATTTTTTGATCTGTAAAAATTCTTAGAATTTGGGTGCTTTAGGAAAATTAAAAGGATGAATACAATTTTTTAAAAAGGCAATTGAGCCGGGATGGTGGTCACATAGGAGGCTGAGAAAAGCGGCACTGTTTATGACCCGTGAAATCTCTTGTGGAGATTTTGAGCTGCTGAGGACTGCTGGGCTGTTTGTCTTGCTATGGTTGTGTTTTTAGACTTGTGTTTTTAATACAACCAAATATTAATGTATATCTGGCCTACAAGTTAAAAAAAAACGTTGTTAGTTGCCAGATTACCAGACTGCACGTTATAGATTGTTGCTTGATTGATTGTTGCTTAGATTGATATGCTCAGTAAGAATCAGTGAAAGGGGGCTGCTGTCTGTTTGACGCCCCTTAAAGAAAATTCATCATCTCCTCGCCCTTATGTTGTTCAGAACTAGAGATGCATTGATTCTGTTAGATAAATAGCTGATAATAATTTTTATGTTATGGCTGATAGCTGATATTAAAATTCTATTTTGTTTAAATGAACAATGAAGCACTTAAAAATTACTTTAAATGCCAAAAGTGAATGTAGGAATCATTAGGCAACATTATACAGGTGCATCTCAATAAATTAGAATGTCGTGGAAAAGTTCATTTATTTCAGTAATTCAACTCAAATTGTGAAACTCGTGTATTAAATAAATTCAGTGCACACAGACTGAAGTAGTTTAAGTCTTTGGTTCTTTTAATTGTGATGATTTTGGCTCACATTTAACA